TTCAGTCAAATTCCGAGTCCGGTAATATTCAGTAAATTCATATCAGCCCGGTTTCAATATTCGATTCCGGTTATACTGGTTAAGTCCAGATATCATATTATGTCAAGTCAAGCATCTTAACAGTTAAATTTATTGAATCCGAGCATAGTACTTAGTAATTGTTTATATTATGTTACAATTTGACCAGTTCACGACATCCGCACTTCCAATTTCATATCTTCAGTACAGGTGGGGACTCAGACTGGGTATTACATTGATTATAATTACGGTATCATGTTTAAGGTATGTCAATTATAGTTCCGCTTAGAATGGATGTTGGCCGGTTCAGGTTGCCATAATTCCGTTCTGGGTTCTAGTGGCGTCATCTCCCACTAGTATGTGCACATGGATTCCGGCTAAGATTATCATTATCATTATTATTATCATGTTATCATGGCAGCCGGTAGATTCACGGGTCCTGGTCCGAGTTATACTAGGAAATTCACGGTTATGTTACATGCTTATGGTCATGATGTTGCTATTATGGTTACTGTTTACTTTAGTATGAGTTCCTACGGAGTACAGTGGTACTCACATCCCACTTTTATATTTTTCAGGTCACGGAGTCGGTCTGGAGCTGTGAGACTGACGGGTGGATCGAAGTTTTGATTGTTTATGGTTACCACGCTATATTCCGCTGATCATACTGTTTGTTAAACTCATCCTCTTTGATCCGATTTTACAGTCAGATTATGATAAATCCATTTTCCTTTAAAAATTTAAACAACGGTAACGTATTTCAAAGTAATGTAAATGATTTTAGTAGCACTCCGAATCTCGATTTTCAAATACTTTAATAAAAGATTTTATTAAATACGTACTCTGATAATCTAAATAAGGCGGGGTGTTACAGCACCACTCGGTTTTGGGGTAAAGAATCCTCAAGCCGTGGCAAACTCGAGAAGATGAAATTGATCGAGTAGAGGAAACTGATTCGAGCAGAGAGAAAGGGGCGACTGCGAGTGTTCTTTTTATCTGATAATAAATGCTGCAAATTAAAATGGGGAAAAATAGAATTTAAAGGAAGAATAATATGATGTGAATTAGAAGTGTGACATGGAATCTGTTGTGTATGATGACGTCGCACTGACATTAAAATATTGAGTGCCACACAATCATAATCGGTGCCACGCCAATTTCTGATTAGTCATGTCACTGTGGCTTGGCCGAAAACTGATTTTGACACAAAATTGCAATATTTAATAAATGTTTGATATTTTGTTGCAAAATTGAAAAAAATAAATTTTATTTGCAAGTAAATAAAATATTAGGGATTTTATATGCAATTAAGGCTTTATTGAACGAGCATGAAATCAAAATATGAATTCCTTGAATCGGATGGACTTGAACAATATCAACACTATGGTAGAACAATATCAACAATTAAGGCTTTATTGAACGAGCCCTTGTGAATGGTCTCATGCACTTTGCTAAAGGGCGCGTAAGCTCGGTAATATAGGGCATGCTCGGACCCAGCGCCTTATCCGTTGGGAACCGCCACCGACTCGTGGATAAAGGTCAACTCTGATGGTGCCCATAATAGTTCCTCAGGTATGGCCTCTGCGGGCGGTCTACCTCGTGATTCTAATGGCACATGGC